CTCACATGTGTGGTCTCTAAGTGCCAAGTAACACGTAGACCATATAGTTCCTTTGTTAAGAAAAGGAATAATTTGGTCTCATAGAAGGAACTTGAGAATCAGAAAAAATAAGGGAATGCTTGATCACAATCTTCAAGCGTGTGTAGGTACACTATCCTAAAACTTTCTAATTATCCTTAGCAAGCAACAGGGGTAACAAATTAGAACTTTTGAGATACAAGAATAATGTCAAACTATTTAGGTTGCTTTTCTAAAAAGTTCACCAAGGATGTAACTTGAGATTTTTATCTTAGAAATCACTCTCTCTTCAGTATTGCATTTACTTAGTCATGAGCAAATAATACGCACAAAATCGTTTCTGGGCAACTTGATGGAAGACAATATTTATACCCATCATTAGACATCATTTCTTCAATTCTCTTAAATGTAAGATTAATGAAGAAATTAATTATTGGAAGTCTTTTGTAATTCTCACTATCATTATATATATTCATAATGATAACAATAATTCAAATTTAATATTTAAATTTTTCTGTACCGATCAAGAATTCATTTTATTATTAAATATAATAATTACAATTTGTAGGAATCAGAGAAGTCATCAAAAGAGTAACCTTTCGAGAAGTCATCCGAAAAGTAACCTCCCAAGAAGTCATCTGTAGACTTGAAGAGTAACCTCCCGAGAAGTCAACTTCCGAAGAGTGAAACCCAAGAGAAGTAAAACCAAGAGAACTATACTCAAGAGAAGTAAACCCAACTTCTCTAAAACAACTTCTCTAAAACAACTTCTCTAAAAACAACTTCTCTAAACATTCTTGATCAATCAAATCATAATATTTTCAACTCCACAACACCAAAATATTATTTATACTTCCGGTAGACATGTCTGAATACATATATTCAACCATTTACTATATAAATGTCAAACACATGGTCCCTTTTTATAGGGTGACGCGAAGTTCAAACAATAATCTTTCGCATAAGTCTAGCGTAGATATCAAATTAAAAATATGTTTCGTTTCAACAAAAATGTTAAGCTAATAATTGAACAACATATTTATGTTTTATATATTATACTAGGCCAAACTTCTCAATGCTAGGATGCCATCTCAACCCATTACTAGCTTTCATCATATGCCTTCATAATTCCTTGGTTCGGTTTATTTATCAATTATCAAGCCAAATACCTTGTTGGGAATTTTCATAATTATTCAATAATAATAATAATAATAATAATAATAATAACAATAACAATAATAATAATAATAATAATAATAATAATAATAATAATAATAATTTCTTGAAGAATAAATAAAAAAAAAATCCAATCCCAATACGAATGGAAAAACAATCTAGGAGTGCATAACACACTTCCTTAAACCCGATTAATTTGCTTCCTCCCGAGGGTAGGAGCGTTGAAACATCAATTTCACAAGATACAATGGATTACAACACTATATTTGAGCACTCAAATATAATGTTTTCAACGAATTGAACTTGATCAAAAGAACACTTTGTAAATTTTATATAGAAGTGTTGGCGGAATAATGAGAGAAAAGAAAGAGTTTTGAGGGAGAGAAATAAGTATTTTGATGATTAAAATTTAAAAATCTATCTCAGGTTCGAGAGAAAACGTCCATACTATAGAAGTCGAACTCAAAAAGTGAAATTGTATATATATGTACTAGTGTGAACTTGCATTCTTGTTTCAATGTGAGACAAAAGCTTCTTTCAAGCTTTCCCAACTCAAATGAGTGCACTTTAATAAGAATCAATTATTTCTCATTCACAAAATACCTATTTTGAAATTATAATATATCAAATTAAACTTCTTACTAAGGGGAACTTAAATATATTTTGACCCGATCAAAATTGAGAGTGGATATACTTTTAACCATTTTTTTCAACATATCTTAGAATATGCAGTCCCATCAATAATCACAGGTCCAACTAGTCTCATTAGATCAAACAACGTTCTTTTGATTTCCATCAAGGTGCTTACTTTCATCAAATATTAACTTCTCTAATTAATATTGATCAGTACAACCTTGTGAGTTGTTACTTTTTTTTTTTTTTGAAGAACCTTGTGAGTTGTTACTATGTTTTATTTTTATCTTTGGTAGCTGTAATTGTATTCTTTAGGGAGAGTGGAATCAGTTTAATAGACATTTAATGCTAGAAGTTTTTGGAGTGTTTGGTAATTAACGTATAGCTGATAGTTTATTATTGTATTAATTATTTTAACTAATTGATAGCATTATTTGATTATAGAAAGTTGTTTGGTAAATTAATCGATTACTCTTAGTTGATTATATGTAACTTTTTGAAAAAAAAAATAAGGACACATGTCAAACCTACGAAGAATTAACCTGCTAAACATGTTAATTTGGACTCAATTGAACAATTTTACTGGTTTAGGATATTCAAATGAAGTTTTTTTTTTTTTTTAATTTTTTAATTTTTTTAAACTTAGAGAACCCAATTGCACTATCCGTTGACTTATGGGGCCAATTTGACCATTTTTCATATTCCGATTGACTAGGGGGGTCAATAGCGTGTAGCAGTAAAAGGAGGAAGTGGCAAGCTTTTGGACATATGCTATTTTGGAAGGCACCAACAGAAATATTTCAAATATTCAGTTCACAAGGCCTTCAACTCCATAAATAGAGCACATTCTAAAGCGTTGAAAAGGGATGAAAATATGAGTAACGACATCATTTACAAGCTTATGCAGTTTTTTTTTAAAGCTCTCAGTCATTCAAGCTCTAAATGCTTCAAGAATCTTTCTGATTCTATCCAAAGATTAGTCTTCTTTACTAACGTAACGACTCAGTTCATTCTTCACCGTACCCATTTCAAGGAGACTTGGTGATAGACACTTGAAGAAGGAGCTGTTTATTAGTTGCAGTGAAGAACGTGTAGCTTTGTGTAGAAAGTCGTTCTTGTTGTCTTGGTGATGTTGTCACTTGTATTTGGAATAAATACTATTGAAATCCCTCTTGATTTTATGGGAGAAAACTTGTGTTTATGAGGGAAGGTGTTTAGTATGAGTCGAGTGAAACATTTTTTTTGTTACAAGAGTGTTGTAGCCTAAAAAGAAAGCCTCTATGTTATACAATTTAGTAAATTTTAGAAAGGCTCTTGTATAAATAGTGGTGCAAACCCACTTCCCAAACCAATGTGGGACAAAAGCTTCATTTTTCCCTCTATTTTTCCAACTCAAATGGGTCTACTTTGAGAATCAATTTCTCATTCACCCATTATCCGTTTTGAGCGTACATTATATCAATCTCTTCGTCTCACTATGAAGAACCCGAATCCACTTTGACCCGACCCAAATTGGAAGTGGACCCCACTAATAATTGTACCACAAAATAGCCACTTAAAAAAGCCATTTTAAGCTATTTTTTCCAACAGAGTGTAGTAGGTAGTTTCTCGAAGTCATAACTGTTACTTTCCATATTTAAGGTCTCAAGATCAAATCACATCCCAAGTAAGGGTTGGAATAATTTTTTGAAATGGGTCCTGGGAGGACTAGGTGAACTTGGAACCAGGTAGAACCAGAAATCGGGGTCTAGGTGGGACGAGGTGGAACCAGGTAGAGCCAAGAACCAGGGTCTAGGTAGAACCAAGTGGATCGGAGTCTGGAACAAGGACCAGGTAGAGCCAGGAACCAGGGACTAGGCAGAACGAGGTGGAACCAAGTGGAGGGTGGGACTTGGTGGAACCAAGGTCTAGGTGGAACGAGGTGGAACCAAATGGAGCCAAGAACTGGGGTCTAAGTGGCCGGGACTTGGTGGAATCAAGTGGAGCCAGAAACTGAGGTTAAGGTGGGACCAAGGTGGAACCAGGAATCGGGGTCTGGGTGAGACGATGTGGAACCAGGGTCTAGGTGGAATCAGGAATCGAGAATAGCAAAGGTGAAGCCAAGTGCCAAAAAACAATAACAACCAACAACAACAACAACACCACCACCACCACCACCACCACCAACAACAACAACAACAACAATAATAATAATATTGCAAAAAAAAAAAAAACCAAAAAATAAAAAACTATCGAAATTTCAATAATATTCAAAGTCTATGTAGTTTTTATACTTTTTTTTTCGGTCTTATTTTCATGTATTCGCTGACTTAATGAGAAGCAAACTCCATGGCTTTTGTCTACGTACTTTGCTTTATGCAATTTCAATATGTGGACTCCAGATCAAGAATTTGATCAAAATATTCAAATTTTGGACAAAACAAAATCATAGAAATGGCGTATGAATAACTGAGCAATTTAGAGTGCATTATTTGAGCATGCAGTTTTTTTTTTTTTTAAAGGTTTGGAACCTATTGAGCATATAATCATTAATGTGCAATCTAACCATCAGCTTAGATTTTTAATTGAGATAAAACTTATATTTCAATTTGGTATCAGAGCCGTCACCCAGTAGAAAAAAGAGACTATGATCCTTTTGAAATGGAACACATGCTTTAATTGAACCGGAACTGACAGTTCTGGTTCTAGAGATTCTGGAATTTGAATCGGATCAATTTCAGTTTCGGTGTTTGATTCGAACCGAACTAGGGTGATTATTGATTACCTAATCGTTACGACAAGCAGTTGAACAAATAATGACGAATGTAATTAACATATGTTGGAAAATGAAGAACTAATAATTGTTATATATTACTGTAAAATTTTCATCTCCTCATTTCTACCGCAAACTTTATTGTTTTTTTTTTATTCTTAATTGAAATTGTGTGGTGGACGTGGTGACGCCTGCGCAGTATATGTATATTATGTATATAAGTATATGTGTAATTTATAGGATATTCGTCAGTCACATGATCCATCAACACTTGTTCCATAAACATGAAATTTTGTCAATTTTGATTTGATATGACGTGAACTTCCACTCTCACCGGTGATTAGACTTCCCTCTAACCTGGCACCTGCCTCTATATATATAAACCATCTCTACATGATTTTTGGGTATAACATAACTTTCATAAACTTCGTTTTATGCCTCACCCTTTTTTGGTGTAGAGACTAGCAAGTTCATTTTATATTATTATTAAAAAAAAAAATGGCGATGATGAACAACATGACAGCAATAAAAACATCATCGGATGGAGCATGGCAGGGCCAAAATCCCCTTAATTTTGCATTGCCATTGTTGATTGTACAAACCACCCTAGTCATCGTTGTTAGCCGCTTCTTCGCCTTCCTACTCAAACCCCTTCGACAACCCAAAGTCATCGCTGAAATTCTAGTACGTCAATTTTTCTTTTTTCCAATTTGAAGTTGATTTTTTTTTTCTTTTTTGGAATATATATATAGGGTCGGGTTCTAGTTTGACGGTTGACAAATTATTGTGTGGACCATAACAAAAAGTACATTTTTAATATACTAAATGTACATCATTTTTGTACTGAATGTACATTATACAATATAATGTACACTCAGAACAAAAATAATGTACATTATTTTTGTACTGAATGTACGTTATTTTTATATTGATTATACATTATTTTACAGTATACAAAATATGGTACACCGAACTTGTGTGGACCATGGTCCATACAATAACGATTGGTGACGGTTGAGACAGATCTGTCCTATCGAATGATCTAAGATCCAACAGTTGAAAATCAATGGAAACTGAAAAAATGCAGTGGCATTTTTATAATTTTCTGTAATGGTGGGTGCATTTAGATATGTTTGATGGTGTTTCGAGTCCAAATACACCATTAAGCATTTCCATGCACATCACAAACCAGCACTTAGTGCATCACAAATTACTCCTAAGCACATGTGTGTGCGCACGTGCGCGTGCGCGCGCCTTGCCCGTGAAAAAAACAAAGTGTCACAATTTTGCATATATTGGTAGCAATCCTTATACCATGGACCAAGGTTTGCATTGTAAACCCTGGTGCATGTGTCTGTCTTGTCTTATGATGTGAGTTTTTGTATCTTGTGTTATGAAATTCTGTACCTTAAAAATATGAATTCTTTACCTAGAACAAATTAGTAATTGTGTCTTATATTATGACTTTCTGTGTCTTGTGTTATGAAATTCTATATTTATGAAATTCTATATCTATGAACACAAATTATGTACTTAAATCAGATTTGAAAAATAAGTAAATATATAACATGTGTCTGTGTCTTGTGATTTTTTTTTTTTTTTTTTTGGTTATGAAATTTTATACTTTAGGAGTACGAATTTTGTATCTCGTCGTTTCAATCCATGCTATGTAGACTGTATAAATTGTTATTTAATTATTTGTTTAACGGTACGCAGGGTGGGGTTATCCTAGGGCCATCTGCTTTTGGAAGAAATCAAGAATACATGCAAACTATATTTCCTGAATGGAGTGCACCAATTCTTGAATCAGTGTCAAGCATTGGGCTACTCTTCTATCTTTTCTTGGTCGGCCTTGAGCTCGACTTGTCTTCCCTTCGAAGAAATGGGAAAAGTGCGTTTTGCATAGCGGCGGCCGGAATATCCCTCCCTTTCGTCTTCGGCATTGGAATAACTTTCCTTTTCCGGCGAGTTGTCCAAGGCGCCGATGAAGTCGGCTTCGCTCCATACTCGGTCTTCATGGGAGTTGCTCTCTCCATCACCGCCTTCCCCGTGCTGGCTCGCATTCTGGCGGAGCTTAAACTGCTCACCACCGACATCGGCCAGACCGCCATGGCCGCCGCCGCCTTCAACGACGTTGCCGCCTGGGTCATGCTTGCCCTCGCCGTGGCCTTGGCTGGAAACGGAGGAGGCGCCGCCGCCCATAAAAGTCCTGTCATTCCCGTCTACGTCTTACTCTCCGGCGTTGCATTTGTTATCTTCATGATGCTTGTCATTAGGTACAAAACCAAAATCTGTTTATTTATCACTAAATTTTCATTTAGGTAAAAATTGGGTTCCACTATAGCTTGTAGAGTCGAGTCCATCATCATTTCATTAAGTCGTGACACTGAAAATTATGGAATTTTCGACCAACTTGAAAGTGCTTAAATCAAGTTGAAAGTAAAAAGTGGTCGGAAATAACAACAAAGATTTTTCGAGATACTAAGTGGTCGGAACAAGGTTTCCACTTGATTTAAGATCACTTTCAAGTGGTCACCAGCAGTGATGATGTCAATTTGTTAGGATCAAACGTACCACTACCTTAAAAATTATATCTAATCGTCAATGGACAACTTTATTTCATTGGCATATTTTAAGATACAGGTGTTGGACTTGGCCTAGGTCCGTCCAACAATCTTTTAGTCACGAATTGCTGAACTTAACCCTGACCTTTGCCCAACATAACCCTCACACAAATATAAGGAAATAAAGTTGTGTTTTAATTGTAGCTATAACTTTTGACAGGTAGTGAGCGCTTAATGCAACAATTGGTATCAGAGTCAGGTTTGGGAGGGGATTGTTGGGATGGTATAGTTGATCCTAGTGCAATTTGAATAAAGCAATTTGTTTTTCGTACGTTTTCAGGCCAGCAATGAAGTGGGTGGCGCGGAGGTGCTCGCCGGAGCACGAAGCGGTGGAGGAGGCGTATGTTTGCTTGACACTCGCCGGAGTAATGGTCGCCGGATTTATCACTGATCTCATCGGAATACATTCCATATTCGGAGCGTTCGTATTCGGATTAACTATTCCGAAGGGCAGTGTTTTTTCCGAGAGGTTAATCCTGAGGATTGAAGACTTCGTGTCGGGGCTATTGCTTCCATTGTACTTTGCGTCGAGCGGTTTGAAAACCGACGTGGCTAAGATATGCGGCGCGGAGGCGTGGGGACTTTTGGTGCTGGTGATCACGGCGGCGTGCAGCGGGAAAATCATCGGAACTTTTGTGGTGGCGATGTTGTGTAAGGCTCCGGCGAGAGAGTCGTTAACGCTTGGGTTATTGATGAATACTAAGGGCTTGGTGGAGCTCATTGTCCTCAACATTGGCAAGGAGAAAAAGGTAATTTGCCTTCTACCCTCATTTTTTTTCTTTTATACTTCAGCTTTGAGTACGAATGTAGAATTATCAATAAAATTTATATTCAACTAGGGATAAAAAGTTTGGAAGAATGATCCGGGATTGAATATCACCAGCCACATGTGAGGTTGAGCAGCTTTTTGAATTGACTAAATGTTTATATTACTAAACATGGTCATCTATTATAATTTATATCTAACAGTTTATTTATTTTAAATTGATTTAAATTTTTAGATTAACATTTCTCATTAAATATTGGGTTTTCTTTTCCAGGTGCTTAATGACGAGGTGTTCGCTATACTAGTTCTGATGGCACTGTTCACCACTTTCATAACCACCCCAACAGTGATGGCAATTTACCAGCCTGCCCGTGGGGTCACCGACTATAGCCACCGGCAGCTACAGTCGCCGCCGTCGTCCTCCAAAGATGATGAGCTGAGGGTGGTGGCGTGCCTCCACGGTTCCGGCAACGTCTCCTCGCTCATCAACCTCGTCGACTTGATCCGGCCCACCAAGTCGTCCCGCTTCAAGCTCTACGTAATGCACCTCCTGGAGCTCACCGACCGCTCTTCGTCCATCGTCATGCTCCAGCGGTTCCAGAAAAACGGGTTTCCGTTAATCAGCCGCCTCCTGCCTGGAAGCCGGCGGAGATTACACGACCTCGTTGCGGTGGCGTTCCGAGCGGGCGGAGTCAGCGTTAGGCCGGCCACCGCCGTATCGCCTCTGCCGACAATGCACGCCGATATATGCCGGATGGCGGAAGAGAAGAGGGCGTTCATGATCATCTTACAGTTCCACAAGCGCTGGGTTGGGAGCCACGGTGGTGATGGTGATGGTGAGGTGGTGGAGAATATGGGGCATGGGTGGAGGGGAGTGAATCAGATGGTGTTGAAAGAGGCGCCCTGCTCAGTGGCGCTGCTCGTGGATCGAGGATTCGGGGAGGCGGCGTTCCTGAAAACTCCTGAAAAATCAGATGGTGTTGAAAGAGACGCCGCCGTGGCACAGAGGATTTGCGTTATTTTCATTGGCGGCGCCGACGACAGGGAGGCGTTGGTGTTGGGTGGCAGAATGGCGGAGCACCCGGCGGTCAGAGTCAAGGTCATACAATTTGTTGAAAAACAAGAGGTGGAGAAGAGTGACCTTAATAAGTGCAAGACTGCTGACCCTGAAAAGGAAAAGGTAAAGTAGTATTACACACACATATATATCGCCAAAGCTATATCTATTTGGTGCACAATTACCTACTTCTTATATCACTTTTTAAATCAAATGTTTATTATCACTAAGCTAGACACCTCTTAACTAGACACCTCTTAACGTAAAAACATGCAGTCTTCTTAAATAATACATTGTAAGTATTTTACGAATGCACAATAACTATTCTATATCCTTGATTACTATAAGAATGCACTGAAACTACTACATGAATGTTCAAAAATTACTTCACGGAGCTGGAATAGTTATTGTGCATTCAGTACGTGGATAATTATTGATCATATTAATTATGGGCATTAATATGTAGTAGTACAAGTGAAACTAACAATTAGTGTAGAACTATGGGGTTGGAACTAACTTAATTCTTCTCTAGAAAAATTGAATTCCAACTCCAAGGGCTTCCACACTTTGGTCCGACTGAGCATGTGAGTCGTAATTAACTTAATTGAACGTGCAGGGGGTGGATGAGAGAGCAATGGAAGGGTTTTTAAGAAGGTGGGAAGGAGTGGTGGAGTACCAAGTGAAGGAGACAAGCAACATCATTAATGCAGTGTTGACAATGGGGAGAAGCGGAGATTACGACCTCCTTGTCGTCGGCATAGGGCGGTGCCCTTCCAAAATGGTGGCGGAGTTGGCAGAGAGACCAGCGGAACACCCAGAACTAGGGCCAATGGGAGACCTGCTGGCCTCCTCCGGCGAAGGTGTTGTGTCGTCAGTTCTTGTCATACAACAACAACAACACTACATGGCCCGTGCACCAGAAGTTCACCCGGTCTAAAATATAAGGTACGATACGGTGATAAAGCAATGCATCAAGTATGTATGTGTGCGTAACTCACTAATAGTAGTGTAAATATTGAAAGATTTTTGTGCTGCCTAGTGATGGCAATGTCAATCCACCCTATGGATATCTACCTGACATGGATCGAGTTTTTTTTGAATGATAGTGGATGATGAGCTGAGAGCGGGTCTTAAAAATTAAACTCACAGTTGATTAGAATAGATGTAAATTTTATATATAAAACACACATAGAACCACAGTACACCCAACCCATCATGTGTAAATATATAGTACAATAAATACTAATATTTATTTAGTTAATTCAAAAAACTTTTGTTAATTTTTACTATTTCTAATTCAAAACTAATAAGTTTATTTAAAAAAAATAACAATTTAATTATTATATTTGAATATTCTATTATAATATGTTTTAATGTAACTAGTGAATTTTAATATTTTATTATGTGTGCGTCATTTATGTTATTTTAAATTTTGTAATAAGATAATAAGTAGTGAGTATCCATACCTGATGGGTAGGTGTGGGTTTTGCAAAAGGCCACCTGTTAAAGGTTGAAAGTGGAGGTGGGTAGAGAAAGTATAAGGTGGATCAGGAAATAGATGTAGTTCTTTCTGGCACATTGGCATCCTTAGTAGGTGTTACCATATTGCTAAATCCATAAAGAAATGAGGGTTATTTTGGAAGAAATTATTATTATTATTATTATTATTATTATTATTATTATTATTAATTGTTGTTTTTGTTATTATTAGTAAAGCACTACGAGATATGATCGCCATTATTTTCACTTTATTGGGGAAGCCTTACCAATTCGAGCTTGCTATGATGAATCCTGGTGATCGATGTTGAATGCGTTGGTTGATATGGAAATCTCCTGTAATTCTATGTATGATCATTTCATTTCAACATGTAATTGAGTATATTTCGTTAAACCGTTGTATTGTAGACTTTTTTTTTTTTTTTTTTTTTTTTTTCTTTTTTAAGGGAGACTTGTAATGTTATAAGTTCAAGCAAAATACTCCCTCTGTCTCATTTTACCTGTCTTACTTTTTTTTTTTTAGTTTGTCCCAAATGTTGTCCTCTTTCCAAAATTGAACATCACCATTATTCTACTTTTTCCAAATTACCCTTATGACTTTTGCTTTTTTTTTTTTTTATTACTTTTATTTTCAAAAGTGAGGTGCATAATTGGAAACACATAGCATTTACTTTAATTCCTTAAAAAGCATGCAAAAAGTAAATGCGACAACTAATTCGGGACGGAGGGAGTAATAAAGAGAGAATTGAATGTTGCTTAGCCCTATTGCTCAATTATTAAATCAAGAACGAGCAAATACCAATTTTGGTTCCACGGGTATTACTGTATTAGTAAAATAACAGAGGATTTTGATCCTGGAGTAGGGGTAGATTTAGCCACTAGAGTAGGGTTAGGAAACTTTAAGACTGGATTAGGGGTAGGGTAATTTTCTGGGTGGAACACTTTGGGTGGAAGCTCCAGTTCTGGAGAGAGTTAAACGAACAGAGGTAGTGGGAGCTGATCTCTTACGCTGTTTGGTTTCAGAGATAAACACTACATCATCTGAATCATCAAATTTGCGTTTGACTGGGACAGAGGCAGGTTCATTAGACACAATTTTTTCTTTACCCTTTCGGGGTGATTTAACAAAAGGAACAGAGACAATAGGAACTGATTGACTGGTTAAAGGAGGATTGGGCATATTAGCAATCAAGTCAAAAAGGACTTCTGCTTGGACAGAGGTGAGGGGTTCATTTAAGCTGGACATAATATCTCTAATTGAAAACCTGTAGGCACATGAGTAGATTCTGGAACAGAGTTAGGGATTACTGGAGGAGATTCTGACTGAGACACAGGTTGTGCAGCAAATTTTGCATTTGATTTTCCCAGCAAGGGACCAATGTACACTATAGTAGATAAAGGAGCTAAGGAAACAGGATTAGCAAAATGCAGAGATGATGATTTATTAGCAGATAAAGGATGCAACACTTCATTAGGCAGATTAACAGAAAAAACCGGATTCCTAGTATAGGCAGTGAGCGATTGCCTTCTAGAGAGGAGAGAATGTTACCAGAGCTCCAGAAGCTGTTTTTCTCGCATCAAGATCAACCATGAGTTGGGGTTCGTTAACAAGGTCATCGTCTTCGTCAACATGCCATGGTTCGACAGTGACATGAGCAGCTGTGGTTAGGATTTTCTTGGATTCATTCAGTGTAAGATCTCCCATGAGGTTTTGATTTAGGACTAGGGTAGCGAGGACCCTTTCTTCAATCGCGAGCAAGAGAGGTGTAGTCTCTTTGATGATTTGCCGGCAGAGTTCTGTGCGTTCATCATCAGAGAGATAGATGAGGAAAGGATTGATGAAGGAAGTGTTGGAGGCCATTGATTTTTAGCTTGAAGGAAGGTTGGGTATGGAGACTCTGATTTTGAGAAATTAGGCGATAGAGATGAGAGAGGGCGACTGATGGTGATGTGAATGCGAGAAGTGTGTGAGAACAATGGATGGTTCTTTTGAATTCGGGCAGGCACATCAATTTCTTTAGATTCAGGGTCCGACTCGGATTTTGGATCAGTGTTAGGCTGAGACTGTATTGGATCTGGGCCAGGTGCGACTGGACTAGTGACAGGATTTTCTGGATTATTTATTACATGATCTGGCATAGGTCTAGAGCTAGGAACTTCGATTATATCATCTGGTTGATCATCCACGGCAATATTGTTGGACTCCATAACAGATTTTGTAACCTTGTTGTAGACGCGATAAGATGACTATTTAAGGAGTACCCAAGGAAGATTCCTTTGTCACTTTTTATCTCAAACTTGGCTGTCGGATTCCTATCCTTTAAAATAAAGCAACGTGAAAAAAAAATATGAAAACATTTGATAATGGGTTTCTTACCTTTCCATATCTCATACGGAGTTTGACTTGTGTCAGGCCGAAAATATACTCTATTGATAATGTGGCACGCGGTTTGACCGCTTCAGCCCAAAACTTTTGAGGTAGGGCTTTTGCATTCGGAAATACTCTTCCAATTTCTTGAATGGTATGATTCTTTTGTTCTACCACTCCGTTTTGTTGAGGTGTTTTGGGTGCTGAATATTCATGTGTACGTGATACCAACGTTGTTGCAGAATTCGTCAAATAGTTGATTGTCGAACTCCCATCTATGATCGCTTCTAATTTGAATTATGGGTTCATTTTTCTCCTTTTGCATCTTGAGACTTAGCTTTAAATGCTCCAAAAGTTTCTGATTTTTCCTTAAGAAAAGTAACCCAAGAGAATCGTGAAAAATCATCGACACATACTAGAATGTACCTTTTACCGCTGATGATTTCCATTTGCGTGAGTCCATTGAGATCCATGTGGATCAGCTCCAAACAGTGTTTGGTACTGATAATCTTTTGAGCCATGTGAGAAGTTCGAGTTTGTTTTCCGGCCTGACATGCACTGCATACTCCAGCTGATTTAACTTTCAACTTAGGAATACCTCGAACACCATCAATCTTCACCAATTTGTCAAGAGATCTATAGTTTAAATGTCTCAATTTTTTATGCCACAATTCATATTCGTTTATGCTGATCCTGCAACAGAGAGTATCACTAGTTAGTATGTAACAATTGTCTGACGATCGCTTATCTTCCATAACGCATTGACTTTGCTTGTCTATGACGTTGCATCTGTTCTTTGTGAATGTCACGTTCCAGTCTTGGTCACAAAGCTAGCTTATACTTATGAGAAGACCATTTACAAGAAGCACTCGCTTTAGCTTTGGTAGACCAAGAATACTTAGAGTACCAACTCCAGTGATTCTACCTTTGACACCATCGTAGAAGGTCACTTCGCATTTAATTTCCTTTACGTTGTTCAGGAACTTCGCATTGCCAGTCATGTGGCGTGAGCAGCCACTGTCAAAATACCACATTTCTTCCCTACTTGTACTTGTGGAATGAAACGAAACATGGCACACATAGTCACTTTTCTTAACCCAGACTTGCTTCATGAAGGGCGTGATGTGGATCTGTGCAAATTTCTCAATCCTTTGATCTTTGTAGAAGTAAAAGCACTCTGGTCTTGTGTGTCCACGTACTCTACAATAGCGGCAAACATGATTATAGTACTTATATTTTGGTTTGCCACGTCTAATATTGCCTGGAATTTGTCGCTCTATACTAGGCTTCGGAATATCTAGATCAGGTCTAGTGACTGAGTCAAGGCCAGAAGCTTTGACAAACACTATCACTGATTTGTCTTTTTCGCCAGTTAAACCCAACCCAAACTTTGTAGCAGTCTTCCTTCCATAATCCAGAATTTGGTCGAGCGCGGAGGTATTGTCTATCATTCTGATTCTTGTTTTGAGTATGTCCAACTCTTGTTTGAGTTTTTCTTCACGTTTGAGGCTGTCTTTGATGAGAATGTTCCTGTTAGCAATTTGGTTTTGATACACTTTCCTGACATTTTCTAAAATACCAACCTGACTAGACAATGATCGATTAACTTTGACAAGGATCTCCCATTTAGAGTACAATTTTTTGTATTCTATTTCGAAAGAGGGAGCTGGTAGATCATGATCTTTAGCAGAATTGTATTCTCCACATCCCGGGCAGATTGAGGTAGCGAGCACGGGTGGAGGAGCCTAACGCCGTCTCGATGGAAAGCCAAACATCCTGGCGGTGGTGCGACCGACAACGAGGTACATGACCACCTCGGATAGTGACGAGATAAGCAACGACAGAATGGATTAGCCCTGTTGGACCCAAACAACGAAGGCCGGATTCGTAGTAGTGGACGTTGCTTCATCCGATGCGCCATCACCGTTGGTGGTGGTGGAGTCGAGCACTGCCAGGGGGCACGGCATTCCGCCATCAACATAGCCCAAGAGTCCTTGGCCACTAAGGAATTGGATGAGTTGGGTGCGCCAGAAAAGCTAGTTTCGTGTCGTTAGTTTGATCGACACGAAATGGTTCACGGAGGAGAGGTGGTTTGGGGAGTTGGCCAGAGACGGTAAGGTGGCGGCACTGATTGTGCGTTCAAGGGAGTTTGGGGTCATCGTGGATAGGGAGAGAGAGGAGGGAGACCTATCGCTAACTGATACCAGATGAATGAGTGTTTGTAATTACCAATAATACATAATACAAGTAACCTAAATATCGTATACAATATGCTACTAGTTAGTCAAACAAAATACAACCACATATATTCATACTATCTCTAACAGACATATATATATATATATATATATATATATATATATATATATATATATATATATATATTAAATAGTATGTCCTTTTAATTTATTAGTTTCGAGTGATTAGAGACTATATTAACCCTACAAAGTTATAAGTTTAATTTTATATGATATGAAAATAAATACCTAACCAAATATATGTATATCATTATATATTTATATTGTGCATTTTAACATCTTTTTGTTTTTTAATTTTTTATTTAAATTCATGATAATATAATTTTTTTAAGTTCGTACATCGTATGGTTAAAACACTAGTAATTATAAAATGGATAAGAATTTTGCCATTACTAACATTATTATTTTCCATTCTAAGGGGGTGTATTCAATCAAGACTTTTATAAACTTTTAACGACTTTAAAAGTTTGGTGGTATTCGATATAGAGTTTTAAAGAGTTTTTTAAAAGTCTACCGGTATTCAATTCATACTTTTAAAGAGTTTTTAAAAGTATACTAGCCTTCAATTCAAACGTTTATAAAGTCTACTTGTATTCAAAAACTTATGAACTTGGCTCCATCAGAATAGGATTTCCGTATACTTTTTCTTCACAAATATAAATAGTTGAAATCCAACCCTCCAACCCTAAACTTTTCAACTTTCTCTATAGACTTTTTTTTCTCTATATAAAGCAGACAAACTTTTCATCTATTCTTGTCGAATTTTACAGTATGTTTCAA